TGGGCCCATGCCACCCATGTGGGAAACCCAGAGTTCCAGGCTCCTGCTTCAGCCTTCCCAGCTTGTCTGTTGTTGCCATTTTGGGGAGTAAACCAGCAAATGGAAGATCTCTCTCTGTTTCTCCCTCTTTCTTTGTAACTCTGCCTTTCAAATAAAGAAATATTCTAAAAAAAAAAAAAAGGACTGTAAGATTCTGTAATTAGAAGAGTGCTTTTAATTCATATCATATTTTAAATTTCATTTTATTTTTTTCTTGACCTTTACATTAAGGAATCAGATTATTAAAAATCATTGTTTATTATCCATTCTTTTGAAAGCTGAAAACACCTAGTAGAAAGCATTCATTGATATTTGTAGTGTGTATGTCTTTCATTCTAAACATGTATGTACATGAACCCATTACCACTGACTTATAGTCAACAAAATGAATTTAAACTTTGCACTTAACGTTTTTTGTGGTGAAAAATAGACAACTTGATACCAAATATGACAGCATAAATTTCTGTTAGACTTTTCAAATTATACATAAATATGTATATTTGAAATTGGATATGGAATCTCACAAAAATCAATTATTATTCATTCATTCAGTAAATAAGTAATCTTGGGACTTTGTGCTAAGTTCTGGGATGGTAAAGCTTGGATATTAGTTACCAGGTAACTTTCAGGAGCTAAGTTATTTAATTTTACTTGTCAAATATTTAAGTACTGAGTATTCCTTCTGAAATAGAAATTGAATTTGAGGAGCTGGTGTTATACCATATGGGGAAAGCCACCACCTGCAATGATGGTATGGGCGCCAGTTCATGTCATAAAGTTTTGATCCAGCTCCTTCCTGATTGCCTGGGAAAAGCAGTAGAAGATGGTCCAAGTACTTGGGCCCCTGCCACCCACATGGGAGACCTGGACGAAGCTCCTTGCTCATAGCTTTGACCTGGCCCAGCCCCAGCCATTACAGCCATCTTGGAGTGAACCAGTAGATGGAAGATCTCTCTTTGTCTCTTTCTGTCTCCAGAACTGTGACTTTCAAATAAATAAATAAATCTTTAAAAAAAGGAAAAAGAATTTGATATTTCCATTTGAAAAAAAAAAATGGAAGATTATGGTAAGACCAGAAATGTAAACAATTAGAAATATACTTCTGTATATTAAGATAATCGAAAATGAATCTTGATGTGAATGGAAGGGGAGAGGGAGTGGGAAAGGGGAGGGTTGTGGGTGGGAGGGACGGTATGGGGGGGAAGCCATTGTAATCCATAAATCGTACTTTGGAAATTTATATTCATTAAATAAAAGTTAAAAAAAAAGAAATATAGGTAATAGTATATGAGATTACCTATTTAAAGCCTAAACCTTAATATGTAGAGATAGTGAATAATAAAAGTGGTTAGAACTAATTATGCAGAAAAAGTATCAGATTAGCACACAGTTAAACTTAGAGTACTTCAGCAGTGTTTTTCAAAATCTGGCCATGTATTGTAATTACTCAGATTTCTAGGTTTGTTGCTTCAGCATTTCCAGTTTGAAGTCTAGTGGGCATTGGTGAGCTCAGCTTTGCATTTAGTGATTTTTTAAATGTGTCTTAGTCCATCACTTTTGGGGTACCTCCCTAGGGTTTTAAAGGTAATAGGCAACAAATGAGGGATGATAATTCAGGGGTGAAGGCAAAGTAGAACTATGCAGAAGGTGCTAAGGAACACATAATGGTGCCCCAACTAAATCATGGTTAATGGATCCTGAAAACATTTTCTGACATGGTTAAGATCGGGCTGAATTCTAAATGAGGAACAGGAGTTAACTAAACCTAGAATAAGGAAAAGTATGGCCCAATTAGTTAACCTGTGCTGATTCTATTGTAGTGATATTCTGTAAGTGACAAGGGCCAGAAGTAGAGTTATTATGGAGATGGAAAAGAGGAGACAAATTCTAGAGATCCCAGTGCATGGAGTAATTGAGATATGTTTACAAGACTTGTGGTCCTATTATCCATTGCCACTTAACCTTTACTAACTGTGCAGCAGCCACACTGGCCGTTTAGTTCCTCAGTTATACCCAGTTCATTCCTGACTTGGGATCATGGCAGTGGCTCATTTCTGCCTAGAGTATGCCTTCTCCCTGGCTTAAGCTCTGTGAATTGCCATGTGTCTTCATTCTGATCCCACCTCATTTGTCATCCTAGGAAGCATTCCTGGGCATCAGTGACTCGACTCTACCTCAGTGACTTTACTCTTATAATTGGTCCATCACTTCACTTTGTTTTATCTTCCTTAGAGTATTTATTGAGTGTTAACTCTCTGCCTATACTAGACAAGAGGGAGCTGGTTTATTCCCAGGAACTCAGGTGTTCCAAAAAATCTTTGTATGAATGAATAGGTAGTATCATAGAATGTTAAGCAGATTAGTCATATAGGGCTTGTTAGATAGAGGTGGCTCCTTTAAATAAAAGGGTCTTTATATGGAAACCCAGCTTCAGCCAAGCCTGTTGTCAAGGCCAGCATGGGGAGGTTACTCAGAAGCGGAAAGCATATCTACCCCATGTGGTGTCTAATCTGTTAAAAGTCCAGTCACATTATAAAACCTCCAAAACCTGGATGACACCATCCAACATGAGAGTCTTAACACCCAATAAACCAAAAAGGACTCCATTAAAATTCTACCTAAACTAATGCAATAAAAATCATTTTACCTGGAGGCTTTCTTACAATATCAAAAGGCTTACTTTTTAAGTTAGAAAAGGAAATCAAATAATCTCCACTCATAATTCATATATTACCTAGAAAATGATCTGGAGCCCTAGGACTTTTAATAAAATGCCAACAAAAACTTAGAACTTTCATAGTTCTGTAAGAATATTAATAAAATGCTAAAATGCCAGCAAAAGCTTAGAACTTTCATAGTTCTGTGAGAATATTTAAGTGTCATTGTATTTGTTACTGGTGTTTTCTTGTAAAAGTTACTTTTCATTAACATTTATCATTAAAATTTTGTGACATTGCAATGAATGTATGTAATCTATAGTGGTTCATAGATTGAGTGGTTATTGCCTGACAATATGATAATGTAATATACTTACATAAATATAATTATGTAACTATTGTCTACATAATTATTACATACCTGGATAATGACCAACCTATCTAATTAAATTTTAGTGAAGTTTGTGTGTTCTTGTTTCAGTTTTATTTTCCAATCACAATGAAGGACATTTGTCACAATGGGTGATAATGATGATATGATCATACTAATAGGTAACTTTTCCTAATGGTGTACCATAGACCAGGCACTGTCCAATTCAAGAATCATTTGAAATTAGTGATTTACCACTCTATCTCCATGATGTAGATGTAGAAACTAGAGACAACAACTTGTCCAAGATTCCACAGAACCTAAAGGCAGAACTGAGATTCATATGCACATGGATTAGTTCTAGAACTAGTACTTTCAACCATTAGCTATTACTACATACTTCTTGTTGGAGATGGGAAGACTTAAAAAGTTTTGATAAAAGGAAATGAAAGGAGTACCATCATGAACAGTGGGTGATGAAGGGGGATAGGTATGGTGTAAGCTTTAGGTATGTAGTAAGCTTTAAAATCTCCATGGATATGAGAGTGATCTGGCTGTGACATCTATCACACTACTGATCGCTAGGATTGGTTGGTTTGACTGATCTAACTGGCTAGGCAGTTGTCCCCTGCTTTCCTCACTACTCTGTGTGTGTGTGTCCTGAAGTGTTGTGCTGTGTTGAAGAAAACTTTTTGCAGTAGAGAAGGGTCATTCTTCAGAGGTATACAAGTAGATGAGCTCTCCTGCTAGAAACTCCCATCTCTGAAGGCCCATTTGTAGGACAAGTTAGGATAGGGTACCTTAAGACTCCAGACACATACAAATGAGGCACTGCATGTGGCAATCTGACTTTCTTTAAACAGCAACTAAAACTTAAGTAATCATAAATGAAGAGACTTGAAATCAGATGTAGAAAACTTTAAATCAAATAGAAATCAAATAGAAAGGAAGTCAAAGAAATACTTTCAGACCATACTATATGAAAAGATAAGATACTTTTTTAAGATTTATCCATTATTTATTTTGAAAGTGAGTTACAGAAGGAGAGGGAGAGACAGAGAGAGATGATCTTTCTGCTGGCTCATTCCCCAGATGGCCACAATGGCCAGGACTGGGCCAGACCAAAGCCAGGAGCCAGGAGCTTCCTCTGGATCTGTCATGCGGGTCCAGGGGCCCAAACACCAGGGACATCTTCTGGTACCTGGGATGCCAGCATCAAAGGTGGAAGCTTGAACCCACTCCATCACAGCCCAGGTCCCATGAAAAGATATTTGAAATACAGTATTTAAAAATTGATTTAGATAAACCATTTTGATTTAATAATGAGAGAAAGGGAAGAAATTAAATTAACAGAGTTGTAGGACTAACAAGAAATGGCAAGATGGTAGCTTGTAGGTTAGTATGTGGTAGTTACGTTTGAGAATATATCTGCAAAGGTTCCAGAAGAAAATCCAGGCTTACAGATTCTCAGTTCTCTCAAGGGTGATTTGTAGCTGCTATAGTTCTTGATGCCTCCTTGAGTTATTAATTCATTACATACAATGGGTATCTCAAGGTGTTAAGATACCCTTTGGGAACTTTTATTAGGAAGTCCTGGTTAAGACCAGAAGTAAAAGCAAAGCATTCAAGAGACCTTTCAGCAGAAACCCAAAGAAAATTTTATGACAATTTTATATTATGTATCAAAGAAAACCTTTTAGAGAATAAGAGTGAAATGTGATTGCAGTTCATTTTTGTTGTAGGTTAATTGTCAGGAATTCACCTGGGCCTTACCTAATCCAATTAAAAATTCCACAAGTGACTATTCAATTAAATGACTTATAAGAATATTAGAATTTAAGATTCTGTTGTTTCATTAATTAAAATATTATAATACACAGCAAAATAGTCATTACTATGCTAATTGTAATCCTAATTATGTATTTTGTTTTCAGGGAACCTTTTATTATTTTATCAGGAGGTTTGTCATATGATACTGTAGGAAGAAGACCTTGCTTAACAGTGATGCATGGGAAAAGTACTGCTGTGCTAGAAATGGACTATTCAATTGTTGATTTTCTAACACTGTGTGAAACACCATACCCAAATGGTAAGCTTTGCATCTTTAAAGCTCATTTTCTATAGATACGTAATATTCAAAACAAAGACCTATTTGTATTTTCCTTATCTGGTTTTGCTAATTTTTCTGGAGAAGAGATACTGCCTTTGAGGTCTTATTTGAATAATAAACAATACCTATTCTCCAGAGAAGTAGAACCAATAGGAGAGGAATACACACACACACACACACACACACACACACACACATATGGAGAGAGAATGATTGATTGATTGATTTTAAGGAATTGGCAGTTGTGGGTGCTGAAATTTGTGGAGAAAACCAGGCCAGCATACTAGAAATTCAAGAAACAGTAGATGTTACCATCTTGAATCCCAAATGAGATTGGACTCTTAGGCATGGTTTCTATATTAGAATTTTGAAGTGTAATTGCTACTTTTTCAGAAAAGCTCAGTTTGTATCTTTATGACTTTGATCTGATAAGAAGAGCCTCACCCATTCAGGTAGTAATCTACTCAGAAATCTACTGATTTAAATGTTAATCATGTATAAAATACCCTCATAGCAAAATCTAGGCTGGTGTTTGACTAAGTGTCTAGAATTACCATTGCATAGACAAGCTGACAGAAAGGATTAATCATCACAACCATACGAAAAATTACAGAGCAATTTACTTTTTTTAGAAAGCTTTTATTTAATGAATACAAATTTCATAGGTACGCCTTTAGAAATATAGTAGTTCTATTGTAAATTGAGCTGCAATAAACATTAATGTGCAGACAGCTTTTTTGTTTGCCAATTTCATTTCCTTTGGGTAAATTCCAAGGAGTGGGATGGCTGGGTTGAATGGTAGGGTTATATTCAGGTTTCTGAGCAATCTCCAGGCTGACTTCCATAGTGGCTTAACCAGTTTGCATTCCCATCAACAGTGGGTTAGTGTCCCTTGTTCCCCACATCCTCTCCAGCATCTGTTGTTGGTAGATTTCTGAATGGGAGCCAATCTCACCGGGGTGAGGTGAACCCTCATTGTGGTTTTGATTTGCATTTCCCTGATTGCTAGTGATCTTGAACATTTTTTCATGTGTCTGTTGGCCATTTGGATTTCCTCTTTTGAAAAATGTCTATTGAGGTCCTTGGCTGTAGATGTTTGGATTGATTTCTGGTGTTTCTATTCTGTTCCATTGATCCATCCATCTGTTTCTCTACCAGTACCATGCTGTTTTGATAACAACTGCCCTGTAGTATGTCCTGAAATCTGGTATTGTGATGCCTCCAGCTTTGTTTTTGTTGTACAAGATTGCTTTAGCTATTCGAGGTCTCCTGTGTCTCCATATGAATTTCAGCATCATTTTTTCCATGTCTGAGAAGAATGTCTTTGGTATTTTGATTGGTATTGCATTGAATCTGTAAATTGCTTTTGGGAGAATGGACATTTTGATGATATTGATTCTTCCAATCCATGAGCATGGAAGATTTTTCCATTTTTTGGTATTCTCTTCTATTTCTTTCTTTAAGGTTTTGTAATTTTCATCGTAGAGATCTTTAACGTCCTTGGTTCAGTTGATTCCAAGGTATTTGACTGTTTTTCTAGCTATTGTGAATGGGATTGATCTTAGAAGTTCTTCCTCAGCCATGGCATTGCTTGTGTGTACAAAGGCTGTTGATTTTTGTGTTTTGATTTTATATCCTGCTACTTTACCAAACTCTTCTATGAGTTCCAATAGTCTCTTAGTAGAGTTCTTTGGATCCCCTAAATAAAGAATCACACAATAGCTAAGACCTGGAACCAACCCAAATGCCCATCAACAGTAGACTGGATAAAGAAATTATAGGACATGTACTCTATAGAATACTATACAGCAGTCAAAAACAATGAAATCCTGTCATTTGCAACAAGATGGAGGATCTGGAAAACATTATGCTGAGTGAATTAATCCAGTCCCAAAGGGACAAATATCATATGTTCTCTCTGATTGGCGACAACTAACTGAGCAGCAAAGGGGAAACCTGTTGAAGTGGAATGGACACTATGAGAAACAGTGACTTGATCAGCTCTTGTCCTGACTGTTGATGTACAATGTAATACTTTATCCATTTTAGTATTTTCTCTTTGTTTTGTTCTAGTACTATTGGTTGAACTCTATGATTAACACACAATTATTCTTAGGTGTTTAAATTTTAACTGAAAAGTGATCCCTCTTAAATATAAGAGTGGGAATAGGAGAGGGAGGAGATGTACAATTTGGGACATGCTCAATCGGACTTGCCCCAAATGGTGGAGTTAGAATCATGCCAGGGGATCCCAATACAGTCCCATCAAGGTGGCATGTACCAATGCCATCTCACTAGTCCCAGTGATCTATTTCAGTTCACAACTGATCACAATGATAGGTCTAAGAGTCAAAGGGTCACACAAACAAGTCTAGTGTCTGCTAACACTAGCTGATAGAATCAAAAAAGGAGAGAACAATCCATCATGGGAAGCGAGATACACAGCAGACTCATAGAATGGCAGATGTCCTAAATAGCACTCTGAACTCAGAATCAGCCCTTAAGGCATTCAGATATGGCTGAAGAGCCCATGAGAGTATTTTAGGCATGGAAAGCCAAGATACCCTGGGGAAAAAAAAAAAAAAAAAAAAAGGAAGACCTAAATGGAAGATCTCTGCAAGTGAGATCCCAGAGGAAAGAATGGGGCCATCAAAGAAGGAGGTACCTTTCTCTGAAGGGAGGAGAGAACTTCCACTTTGACTGTGACCCTGTCGGAATAAGATCGAAGTTGGCGAACTCAAAAGGCTTCCATAGCCTTGGCAACTCATGAATAGAGCCTAGGGAGATTACTGACACCATAAACAAGAGTGTCAAATTGTTAAGTCAACAACAGGAGTCACTGTGTACTTACTTCTCATGTGGGATCTGTCCTTAGTGTGTTGTCCAATGTGAATTAATGCTATAACTAATACTGAAACAGTATTTTACACTTTGTGTTTCTGTGTGGGTGCGAACTGATGAAATCTTTCCTTAATATATACTGAATTGATCTTCTGTATATAAGGAAAATTGAAAATGAATCTTGATGTGAATGGAATGGGAGAGGGAGCGGGAGATGGGAGGGGTGTGAGTGGGAGGGAAATTATGGAGGGGGGAAGCCATTGCAATCCATTAACTATACTTTGAAAATTTATATTTACTAAATAAAAATTTAAAAAAAAATTAGAGAGTAGTTAAATTAAGCCACCTTAAATCCAGATTTGAGCAAGTCAGTAATCACATCTGAATAAATAATGCTGCTAGTATAATGCTCACCCCTATATATTAGATAATCAATAAATGACTAGTATTATTCTAAGAAGATAAATAAAATATTGTTTCTTCTTCTGTAATAATACCAGTTTGATTGGATTATTTAAGAGATAAATAAAAAATGTATGTAAAGCAAAAAAAATAATATAGCAGTTCTTTCCTCCATACCCGCCCTCCCTCCAACTCCTGTCCCATCACCTACACCCTCTCCCATCCCATTCTTCATTAAGATTCATTTTTAATTATCTTTATATATAGAAGACGAAATCTATACTAAGCAAAGATTTCAACAGTTTGCACACATACACCCCCCCACACAAAACTGAAAAGTCTTACAGTTAATTCTCATAATATAATTCATTGAGGACAGAGGTCCTGCATGGGAAGTAAGTGCACAGTGACTCCTATTGTTAATTTAGCAATTAACACTCTTATGTATGACATCAGTGATCACCTGAGGCTCTTGGCATGAGCTGCCAAGGCTATGGAAGCCTTTTGAGTCCATAAACTCCATCAGTATTTAGACAGGGCCATAAGCAAAGTGGAAGCTCTCTCCTCCCTTCAGAGAAAAGTACATCCTTCTTTGATGGCTCCTTCTTTCCACAGGGATGTCACTCGGAGATCCTTCATGTAGATCATTTTTTGCCACAGTATCTTGGTTTTTCATGCCTGAAAAGCTCTCTTGGGTTTTTTACCCAGATTATAATGCCTTAAGGGATGATTCTGAGGTCAGAGTGCTGTTTAGGGCATTTGTCTTTCGATGAGTCTGCTGTGTGGCCTGCTTCCCATGTTGGATCATTCTCTCCTTTTTAATCCTATTATTATTACCATATACTTGGTTTTATTTATGTGATCCCTTTTATACTTATTCCTATCTATATTATCAGTTACAAACTCAATATGACCACTTCACCATGTAAGATGGCATTAGTACTACCCAGCTTAATGGGATTTGGAGTCCCATGGCAAAGTTTTAGCTTTACCCTTAGGAGTATGTCCATGGGAATGTGTGCTGGACGGTACATCTCCTCCCTCTCTTATTCCCACTCTTATTTTTACTAGGATCTCTTTTCAGTTTTGTTTAAATACCGATGCATATTTTTGTGTTAAGAGTTCAACCAATGATACTAAGTAGAAAAAGAAAATAGTAAAAAAATAAAATAATAAAACTGTTCCTCGATAATCAAGACAAGGGCTGTTCAAGTCATTGCTTCTCATAAGTGTCAGCTACACTTCTGTAGGTTTCCTTTTGGGTGCTCAGTTAGTTTTTACCGATCAGGGTAAAAAATCATATTTATCCCTTTGGGACTGGCTTATTTCACTAAGTATGATGTTTTCCAGATTCATCCATTTTGTTGCAAATGACCGGGTTTCATTTTTGTCTTGTTTGATTGTTTGTTTGTTTGTTTTTACTGCTATGGTAGTATGCCATAGAGTACATATCCCATAATTTCTTTATCCAGTGTTCTGTTGACAGGCATTTGGGTTGATTCCATGTCTTAGCTATTGTGAATTGAGCTGCAATAAACATGGAGGTACAGACAACTCTTTCATTTGCTGATTTCATTTCCCTTGAGTAAATTCCAAGGAGTGGGATGGCTGGATCATATGTTAGGACTACATTCTGATCTCTGTGGTATCTCCAAACTATCTTCCATAGCGGCTTTACCAGTTTGCGTTTCCCACCAACAGTAGATTAAGTAAGGTACCTTTTTCCCACATCCTCGCCAGCATTTGTTGTTTGTTGAGTTCTGTATGAAAGCCATTCTAACTAGGGTGAGATGAAACCTTATTGTGGTTTTGATTTGCATTTCATCGATGATTAGTGATCCTGAACATTTTTTCATGTGTCTGTTGGCCATTTGGATTTCCTCTTTTGAAAAATGTCTGTTTACCTATATTTTTTTTTTTATTTATTTGACAGAGTTTACAGACAGTGAGAGGGAGAGACAGAGAGAAAGGTCTTCCTTCCATTGGTTCACTCTCCAAATGGCTGCAACGGCCAGAGGTGCGCCAATCTGAAGCCAGGAACCAGGAATTTCTTCCTGGTCTCCCATGTGGGTACAGGGGCCCAAGCTCTTGGGCCATCCTCCACTGCTGTCCCAGGCCACAGCAGAGAGCTGGACTGCAAGAGGAGCAGCTGGGACTAGAAGCTGACACCCATATGGGACGCCAGTGCCATAGGCGGAGGATTAACCTAGTACACCACGACGCCAGCCCCAAAAAATGTCTGTTTAAGTCCTTGGCCTATCTCTTAACTGAGTTGTTTGTTTTATTGTTGTGGAGTTTCTTGATCTCTTTGTAGATTCTGGTTATTAATCCTTTATCAGCTGTATAGTTTGCGAATAATTTCTCCCATTCTGTAGGTTGCCTCTTCAATTTCCTGACTTTGTTTTGCAGTACAGAAACTTCTCAAGTTGATGTAATCCCAGTTGTTAATTTTGGCTTTGACTGCCTATGCCTCTGGGGTCTTTTCCAAAAAGTCTTTGTGACAGTGTCTTACAGGGTTTCTCCAATGTTCTCTAATAATTTGATGGTGTCAGGTCGTAGATTTAGATCTTTAATCCATGTTGAGTGGATTTTTGTGTAAGGTGTAAGGTAGGGGTCTTGCTTCATGGTTCTGCACGTGGAAATCCAATTTTCCCAGCACCATTTGTTGAATAGACTGTCCTTGCTCCAGGAATTGGTTTTGGATCCTTGATCAAATATGAGTTGGCTGTAGATGTTTGGATTGATTTCTGGTGTTTCTATTCTGTTCCGTTGGTCTATCTATTTTTGTACCAGTACCATACTGTTTTGATTATAACTGCCCTGTAGTATGCCTTGAAATCTGGTATTGTGATGCCTCCGGCTTTGTTTTTGTTGTACAAGATTGCTTTAGCTATTCGAGGTCTCCTGTGTCTCCATATGAATTTCAGCATCATTTTTTCCATGTCTGAGAAGAATGTCTTCGGTATTTTGATTGGTATATCATTGAATTTGTAAATTGGTTTTGGAAGAATAGACATTTTCATGATACTGATTCTTCCAATCCATGAACATCGCAGATTTTTCCTTTTTTTTTTTTTTTTTTGTATCTTTTATTTCTTTCTTTAATGTTTTCAATTCTCATCTTAGAGATCTTTGACATCCTTGGTTAAATTTTTCCAAGGTATTGAGTTTTTTTAGCTATTGTGAAGAAGAAGAATTTAAATCTACATCTTCTTAACTTCATTTCTATCTCATTGAAATATAAAAATATGCACTTTTTTCTGTTGTTACCAGGCATGTCTAAAACATCCCAGAAAAGTCAATATTATTATAGAGCTCTGTTCTGTTTCTATGACATACAAAATGATTACTGTTACGGAATTTTGGATTTTTTTTTATTTTTATTTTTTGACAGGCAGAGTGGACAGTGAGAGAGAGACAGACAGAGAGAAAGGTCTTCCTTTGCCGTTGGTTCACCCTCCAATGGCCGCCGCGGCCGGCGTGCTGCTGCCAGCGCACCGCGCTGATCCGATGGCAGGAGCCAGGTGCTTCTCCTGGTCTCCCATGGGGTGCAGGGCCCAAGCACTTGGGCCATCCTCCACTGCACTTCCGGGCAACAGCAGAGAGCTGGCCTGGAAGAGGGGCAACCGGGACAGAATCTGGTGCCCCGACCGGGACTAGAACCTGGTGTGCCGGTGCTGCAAGGTGGAGGATTAGTCTAGTGAGCTGCGGCGCCGGCCAGAATTTTGGATTTTTTTAAAAAAGATTTTTTATTTATTGGAAAGGTAAAGTGATAGAGAGGGTGAGATCTTTTATCCTCTGGTCACTTCCCAATGGCCAAAACAGCCAGGTTCATTGCCACGCTAAAGACAGGAGCCAAGAATGCCAGTCTGATCTCACAAATAAGAGACATTGACCTAAGTACTTGGTAAGCTGGATCAGAAATGCAACAGCCAGAATTAGAACTAGTTCTCTGATAATGGGATGCTAGCATCTCAGGTGGTAACTTAACGCACTGCTGTGTCACAGTGCTGCTCCAGCATTGGAATTTGCAGTGCCGTACAAGTTAATGTGAGCTTCTTGTCTTACTCATCTTTATAAAAATGATGGGTTATGAAATAGATTTATCTAATATGAAACATACTATCCTTATTTCTTTTGCTATCTTCTTGCATATTGAAAACTGATTGTTCATGCATTGTTCTCCTATTCCAGATTTTCAGGAACCGTATGCTGTGGTGGTTCTTCTAGAAAAGGATTTAGTACTTATAGACCTTGCACAAAATGGGTAAGAAATAAAATTTGGTAAGTTATTCTGTCAGTGTGTTGTAAAAATTTCTCTTTTAGATAGAATTTGCTGTTTCTTTGAAAACCTTGTAAACATTATGTATCTCCTTAGCCTTCTTAGAGCTCCAGAACCATATTTTTAAATAGCTGCCAAATTTCTCTATTATGTTGAATCCCCATAGAATTTCCATTTTAATCAAAATTTGTTGAATTTCTGAAATTTAATAGGATTTAACCTGATACTTGGATACTTTGGAACCATACAAAATTGGCCAACTCAAAATTGATCCCACCATGATTCACCTCTATGTTCTTTTTGTCTGTATTCACTGTCTGTTGCAATGTGTTATACAAACCATCATCAGATTTATTTTATGTGTAGTGCTGATCTTGTTACTTTTTCGTGGTTCATCATTGTTTTTCATTTAAAAACACCTTCTCAGCCTACTGCTTTAAACAGTAGGTATTCAGTAGAAATTCCAGCCTGGGTCTCTTATTGTCTTATACAGATAGCATTTTCCCTGAGAAAACTGTATGGTTTATTAAGCAGACATCATATTTTATGTCTTGTCTAATGTAACTCCTAGTAGCTGAAACACTCTACTTCTTTCCATCAAATATCCACACACCTTTCAAAGTCAGCCTTTCTTTTTTACAAGCTTTTCCTCTTCTCTCTACCAAATAGATCATTATCACTTTTTATCTTATTTGTCATATTCTTGTGATAGCTTTTTATGGTATTTGCTGTGTTCTGCTTTTATCTTTTATAAATAATGATATTTTATTGGTAAATTCTTTAAATAGAAATGCATTATTTATTTGTACCTCCTTAGAAATAGTCATTAAGCACACTTGAGTTTACCTATTCAGTATTTCAGTGTTTCTCAGTTGTGTGTGATTTTGTTCCCCAGAGGATATTTGGCAGTGTCTGTAAACGCTAAGGAAGAAGGGTTGTTACTGGCATCTAGTCTAGCAGTCAAAAAACAGGGGCTCTGCAAAGCATCCACAGCTAATAGGACAGTCCTCCACAGTAAAAAAATTCTCTTGTCCATGATGTGAATAGGACTGAGATCAGGAAACCCTATAGTATATAAGAAATATTTTTTGCCTGATTTTTAGGCAGTCTTAAATTAATTTCAACTTAGTATCTGCCACTTGTAATAATCAATTTTGAATTTTTTTATTTTTTAAAGTAGCAAGACCATTTGAAAATATTATTTCTATATGATCCCCTAGAATAATTTCTTCTATCATTTTCTTTTATCCCCCTCCTCAGGTAATGGAGATTTTTCAGAAGTGGTCTGTACTGAGATATTTAATTCAAAGAAAATGCTATGCAAGTAACCTGTCATTTTATTTAGTGAAGGCATTCACTAAATGTATCTTGCAGCAGAATCCCTGAGCTAATGAAATATGATTGATTACATACATGTTATAAGGAGCAGAAATAACCTGCTCCTTTATTAACATGTATTTTTGTTTGCTTTGTATTTTGTCTTCTGTTAGGTACGGGGTGGTGACATTTGGGCTCATTTTGCAATCTATAAAGAATTTGAAATTTTCTGTTTTTTAATCGTTTTTGCAGTTTAGCCATTTTCCATGTTCTAGGTTTTCTTAAAAATTTTTTGTTTAACTTCTCTATTTTTTTAAGATTTATTATTTATTTATTTGAAAGTCAGATTTAGAGTGAGGGAGAGCGAGAGAGAGAGAGCGCGAGCGAGCGAGCATCCATCCATTGGTTCACTCCCTAACCGGCTGCAACAGCCAGGGCTGGGCCAGGCTGAAGCCGGGAACCAAAAGCTTCTTCCAGTTCTCCCACGTGGGTGGCAGGGCCCCAGATACTTGGGACATCTTCTGCTGCTTTTCCCAGGCCATTAGCAGAGAGCTGGATAGGAAGTGAAGCAACCAGGCCAAACCAATGTCTGTATGTTATGCCTACATTGCAGGTGGTGGCTTTACACACTAAACCACAGTGCCAGTCCTATGTTCTAGGTTTTTTAAGCCAGTTTCTAATTGTTTAGATATTTTTAAAAAAATTATATCATTCTAGGATTATAGCTTTTTAATAAGATTTTACTTTTATTTCATAATTTTTGAAAAGATATATCTTTATTTAGCAAAATAATTTCACATCTAGAAAACATTTTGGTAGGTTTTTATTTTAAATGATTACTAAAACAAGAAAATGCCCGGGATTAAACATTGACCACTGATAGAAAGGAAAAGCATCAAAAATTTATGTTAGCTCTGCTGATATAATGATGGGTATCTGTTATTGAGAACCTTACAGCTTACTAATTAAAAACACTGCTTAAATTCTGCTTCTACTCATTGCCAGCTGGCATGTCTTTAACACATTCTACTCTGTAAGTGTTCATCAATTGATTGTATACATCATACATTTGATGTGAGATGCAAATGAGATAATGTTGACTATAAATACACAGTTAATATCATATATGACACATGATACACAACTATTGTTTTTATATTTATTCTTTTAATAGGATATCCTATTATGAAAGATCTCAATTTTTGTAAATTTACATAAAATTAATAAGAATGTATTCTTAAAAGTTTGCATTGTGCTAATCATTGGTTATAATTCGCTAAACTAATATTTTTCTTTCTCCTATTGTTAAAGCTATCCTATATTCGAAAATCCCTACCCTTTGAATATACATGAATCTCCTGTTACATGTTGTGAATATTTTGCTGATTGTCCTGTGGACCTTATTCCTGCACTTTATTCTGTTGGAGTTAGACAGAAACGTCAAGGTTACAGCAAAAAGGTATTAAACATGAATTTCAACATTTAATGTTACATTTATTATCTTTTATTTACTACCTTGAGTTCTTGATAACATTGATACTTGATAGAAAATATATTTAAAAATCATTTTTGGAAGCAAAACATGCAGTGATTTCATAAGTATACACATATATGAATATATTTGATATGCTTGCAAGTTGCATTATATAATAGTGATCTTTTTTATAGGAATGGCCCATCAATGGGGGTAATTGGGGCTTGGGTGCTCAAAGTTACCCAGAAATAATTATTACAGGGTAAGTAACAGTCTGCTTCTACCAAGTAAATCAATTGTAGCTAAATATGTTAATAAGACTGCATGACTTTTAACTTACTGGGAAGGTAATACCTTCCTTTATTCTATAATAAAATAGAAAAAAGTTACTGTCAAGAAACTGCTTATTTACCCTGATTTTTACCTTTTGCCTTATTTTAATGACTATCTTATAAGGAAAAACTATATTTTTTTATTTTCTTCATCACATTCTTAATTCATTTGCTTTTTATAGACATGCTGATGGGTCTGTTAAGTTCTGGGATGCTTCTGCAAGTAAGTATTTTGAACATTCATTATCTGTTGTGTGTGACATCATTGCTTTTATAATTCTGTTTTAGAAAATTGCATATCAGTATTTAATTCAAAATTTAAAAGTTATAAATTTAATGCTGATTTATCAAGTATATGAGTTCAGAATTTTTAAGAGTAAACTCTTTTTTAAGAATATTGGTAAATTGGCTGGCACCCCGGCTCACTAGGCTAATTCTCCGCCTGCGGCGCTGGCACACCAGGTTCTAGTCCTGTTTGGGACGCCAGATTCTGTCTCGGTTGCTCCTCTTCCAGTCCAGCTCTCTGCTGTGGCCTGGGAGTGCAGTGGAGGATGGCCCAGGTCCTTGGGCCCTGTACCCCATGGGAGACCAGGAGGAAGCACCTGGCTCCTTGCTTCAGATCAGTGCAGCACACCGGTCGCAACACCCAGCCATAGCGGCCACTTGGCAGGGTGAACCAATGAGAAAAGGAAGACCTTTCTCTCTGTCTCTCTCTCTCACTGTCTAACTCTGTCAAAAAAAAAAAAAAAAAAAGAATATAAGTAAATCAAGAATAATTCTCAAAAGAAATATTCAAATCCTTTTTTCAAGATTTCCAGAGATTCTCTGATTGAGACATAGAAGTGAGACTGTGCTCCAACTTTGCACAAAATTCTAGAATAATTTTAATCTCTGTTTCTAAACTTCTGTCACAAAAGTTTGTATTGTCTGTGAAATATGTCTGATGGCTACATAGTAGCAAAAGAAAAACAATGCATTAAATGATTGAAACTTACAAAACTTGCATAGTAGGTAACTTGGGATATGTTGTTTCATCACATAGAAGTGTTTAATGATATTGCTAGTTTTTTTAGAGAAAGTAGATAGAAAATCATTTTGGGAAGTAAAACATTTCCTTTATTATTTTCATTGTATTTATGTTTTTTTTTTTCCAAAATCTTTTTGTTACTCTTTTTTTTCAGGTTATCTAAATCTGTCATTTTTTTTTTAGTGAATACAATGAGTGTGTTGAATGTTATTATCTAAATATATGTAAGACTACTATAATATAGACTGAGGAGTAAAAATATGACTAAGCTAAATATAGTCTGTTTAATTTTACATACTGTAACTTATTACACATTACCTTATATTTGTTTTATTGTACTAGAATATCTAATATATTACCTTTTTTTTTCTAGTAACTCTACAAGTATTATATAAGCTAAAGACATCCAAAGTATTTGAAAAGTCAAGAAATAAAGATGACAGGCCAAACACAGATATTGTAGATGAAGATCCATATGCCATTCAGATCATTTCCTGGTGTCCAGAAAGTAGAATGCTATGCATAGCTGGAGTTTCAGCTCATGTCATCATTTATAGATTTAGCAAACAGGAAGTGATTACAGAAGTCATTCCGGTAACAGTCTCTTTATTATTTTCTTTGTCAAGTGTCTGACATTATGAAATTTATGAATTATTTAGAAAACTTTTTGCAATTAATTTTGTGTTCAAATTTTGAAAACACTGCAGTATTTACATCACCATCTCTCTTCTGTGAAGAACACAGCATTTTTTTTTGCTTATCTTTTTCAATGAATATTTAAATCCTTAAGTATATTGAATGTTCTCTTTAAGAAAAGCTGTTACAATATGAGTGGTCTCTAATTTGGTATTTCTAGGAGTATCATGAATTCTAATCTCATAATGCATCAGTTTGTGTATTCCCCCACATAAATGTGTGCACACATTTTTTAAGCTGAATCAGAAACATTTCCTCCTCATAACATCCTACTTTTAGAAATCTTGCTAAATTTTTACCTTTAAAATCCCCTTTCCACTGAAGTTTGTGTGTGTATGTACGTATGTCAACTTAATACAAGGAACAGTAATTTCTCGGAGGAGGTAAACTGCCTTTCTTTTACAACAGATGCTTGAAGTCCGATTGTTGTATGAGATAAATGATGTGGACTCTCCAGAGGTTGAGCAGCCACCTCCTCTGTCAACACCTGTGGGAAGTTCCAATTCTCAGCCCATTCCTCCTCAGTCTCATCCCTCTACTAGTAGCAGTTCATCTGATGGGCTTCGTGATAATGTACCTTGTTTAAAGTGAGTAATAAAAAATTACAGACTTGTTTTTAATCAGCTCCTGATTTAGGTAAATTGTAGGCAATTAGTAAAGCTGCAGTACATTTTACTATGATGGAATAAAATGGCATAATTTGTGATGGTTAATCCACCTGACTCTTTTGTGGCATCAAGAGGAGTACGTTGGCATTCCATGATTTTATCCTTCAAATACTATGGTTTGATCCCCAGCACTCATGAAACAACATGAATTTTTTCTCTGTATGTCAGTCAGTCTTCTAAATGCTTCACTGTTTCTACTCTAGATTTATACACAAACCAGATTTATGTTTAGACTTTTTTCTACCATTCTGAAAATTCTGCTCTTTTTCAGTCTTTACATATTCAGTCATTTCATAATAATTCTATCTTTTTTGACTCTTCTCTTATATATAGTACCTTTATTCTAGCCAGTAGCATTCTAAATTTAAATACATCTTTCTTTTTGTACAGGAAAAAAATTGAATAATGTTTACCTTTATTTCTATTATAATATTGACTGGTTAAATTTTTTAAAGTATTATGTATTATCCCTTAAAACAGAGAAATGAAACAATGAGGCCGGTGCCACAGCTCAATAGGCTAATCCTCCGCCTGTGGTGCCAGCACCACCGGGTTCTAGTCCCGGCTGGGGCGCCGGATTCTGTCCCGGTTGCCTCTCTTCCAGCCCCAGCTCTCTGCTGTGGCCCGGAAGTGCAGTGGAGGATGGCCCAAGTGCTTGGGCCCTGCACCCGCATGGGAGACCAGGAGAAGCACCTGGCTCCTGGCTTCAGATCAGTGCGGTGCGCCGGCTGCAGCGCACCGGCCGCACCGGCCACTGGAGGGTGAACCAATGTTAAAGGAAGACCTTTCTCTCTGTCTCTCTCTCTCTCTCACTGTCCACTCTGCCTGTCAAAAAAAAAAAAAAAAGAAAAGAAAGAAATGAAGCAATGAGTAAAGAGTTAAAAATTATTGAAAAATTATCCAAAGACTGTGATTGTGACTAACAGGCATGGATCAGAGATTCAGCCAGGATCTAGTTACCCCTAATCTCTTACTGGCATCTACAAGACAGCTTAATGATTAAACTGCTCTTTCACCATCATTTTTCTTATTGCATTAAGAAATAAAGAAATTTTAGGTAGTCATTAAAATGAGCACCTCAGCTGATGATAAATGTAAAATGACATCAGCTGGCACTAGAGCCGGATGGGTTTCCTGATGCTGACTGAGCTCCATACTGAGCTAGCTTTAGCCTCCCGGTCATGGCAGTGCTGAGCATACTGCCTTTATGGGAGAAGAGGAGGAAATGCACTCCTGGACAGTTTTGGTCCCAAGTTTACACTGGATGAGAGGAGAAAATGCACTCTGGATGTTATTGCTCCAAGTTTACATATGATGAGGGGTTAATAAGCAGGCCTCCTTAATTCTTTTCTTATTTACCAGCTCTGTATGGCACTCCACCTTAACCTGGATAGAGCTGGAAAGGGAGTCAGAGAGACCCAGGAGTCTACTAACACACAAGCAGAAAAAACAGATGTGAAAGGTTCCTGCTAACTTGACTCTGTGTGTGTGTAAACTTTGCATACCCCTTTTTTGTGTGTTGGTATTGGTGGTAGTGGTTAAATTAATAGAAATTCTTACTAATTTTAGTATATGATGTTTTATATTGGTAGATCAAGCCATAAATTTAAATTGCATTACTTAAATGTTAAAACATGAATTTTTAAAATAGAAGTATGCACTCATATCATAAACTACTCTGCTAATATAGTTAAGGTTATTTAGATTTAGATAGAATGCCAGAACAAGAAGGTATGAAAGATTATAAACATAAGGATTTCATGATAAATCTTTCCTTTTCTTCATTGGTTGTTGTCTTAAAATTAATTGTTTAGTATTACTCTACAAAATTCCAGGTATTGGAGGAAGAGTCATATCTATATTTGGGAATAAGCATTTCTTAGTAGGATTCTGTGTAAGCATTTAAAAAGATAAAGTACACGTGTTTGAGATCCTCATCAAAAATGCATTTATTCTTTAATGACACTTATAGGGCAGTTTGAGTTGTACCTCATTTTTTCTCTTTTAATGATCTTTAGGTAAATACAGGTATTTATTAACTTCCATTTTATATTAGAGTACAATTCAAAGGGTTGACTTTTAAAAGTAAGAAATACAACAAATATTGAATTTAAAATATAATTAGTATTGAGATACTTTGTTTTCCATACAAAATTTTTACATGATTATTTTGAATAAATATTTTTAAAAGTTGTTTGATTTATTCCTTTTGTTTTTATTTGAGTATTTTTAATTGTCCCTTTGCAACATACTTATCCATATATACAGTCATTTTGAAATTGTTAAGTCTTCAGACATGACTTTAACATTTAAAATATATTTGTACAAATTATGGAGCTTTTTATAAAAATTGAACACCTTGTCTTTAAAAGGTAAACAAATTAACTCAAATATATTGAAAATGTCAAGGGGCAGCACTGTGGCGTACTGGGGTAAGCCTCTGCCTACGGCACTGGAATCCCATATGGATGCCAGTTCATGTCCTTGCTGCTCCTCTTCTGATCCAGCACTTTGCTGCAGCCTGGTAAAGCAGTGGAAGATGGCCAAGTGATTAAGCCCCTGCACCGGCATGGGAGATCTGGAAGAAGCTCCTGGCTCCTGGCTTCAGATAGGTTCAACTCAGGCTGTTGTGGGCATCTGGGCAGTGAACTAGCAGATGGAAGACCTTTCTCTCTGTCTCTCCCTCTCTCTGTCTGTAACTGTACCTCTCAAATAAATAAATATCTAAAAACAAAAGTCTATGATAATTTATGTATAACCATAGTAGACATAAAATATAGCACTCCCCTCGCATTTTATATTTTTTAAATCCCAGCTTATCTTCTCTCATTTCTTGATCAGTCATCTAAGTTTTTACAAGTTGGGGATTTTTCATCAGACTTGGCTGGCTTTTTATTTTTTGCTTTCATGAGTTGCTTAAAAAAAGAATTATGTGTTCTGGTCACTTATGTCTTAAATGTGCCCATATGTTCATTTCTAAAATTGTCCCTGGAATGTCTGTTTCTGCTCTTGAGAATCTATCTAGTCTAATGTACATGTTGAGTATGCTAGCTTAAACCTTCCCTTCTCTACCTAATTCACACAGGAGAAAATAGCCTCTCGGCTCTCCAGCCTGTGCCTGTGTTGAAGCTGTCTCTGGATAGAGCTGAAATGCCTCAGTCTTTATTTCTGTCTCTCAAAATGTACAGCTGCAGCGAATTACTGGAATTTCCTTGAGAAGAATTCTGTCTCACCTAGTGCACAGTTCTAAGTGCAGTGCCTCATAATCTTTGCACTGTAGCTCAATTCAGATTAGGTACAGCCTAACAAATTCACATACATATAGTCCCATTTTCCCTGAAGTCTGGGTAGCTTCATCATGGTCTGATTCACGATAGCAGCACCATCTAATTTATTGGAAAGTTTCTCTGCCTCTGAGTGTGGAGTCAGGAGATTCAACAGTGAGTAGTCTTCCGCAGTTCTTTCATAGGCTCCCATACCAAGGCTGAAGCCTTGAGAGTTATTGAAGCAACCAGTCTACCTATGTTTTACTGCAGCAAAAATGTCTTCAACTTTAAGTCACAGCTGCTTTGTGTGTGTATGTGTAGTCACACTAAAATTGTTCACATTTTTAAAAAAATATATCTTTTAGTTTCACTTAAAGTTTGCTGATACAACTATAACAGATGTTGTATCTAAATATTTATTCCTGAGAGACTCTCTCATCAAGTAAATCCCTTCCTCATCCCCTCTTTCTTAATTGCTTATCTCAGAGTCCACCAATTTAAGTTTAGCATGAACTTACAGTTTGTGAAGTTTGGCAGTACATGTATCTACCTAATAAACTAGTTCCATTGACAGTTCCCTAGTGCCACATCAAATTACCTCAGGTCCCTTTAAAACTACCTCTTTATTCTGACATCTGTATTTTCTTTCTTTTTGATTGTAGAATCACTTTGTCTTCTTTATCCTTCCCTCCTTCTCTCTAATCAGTCCCCAGCTCATTCATTTTTTTTCAAAAATTTTGAGTACCTCCTTTATGCCAGGGTATTAAGAGTAGCTGCAAAGTGTCTGCTTTCTTGAAACTTAAAAGCCTTTGCAATTCTTCCTTCATAATGCAGTTTAAGTCTGCCTTTCATTGTTGTTTCATGTCAGAAGAGTCACGGCAACCTCTTAATTAGTCTCCCTATGTTCATCTTGAGTTATGTAACTAAATTAATGTTTCCCAGGTATTTCTTCTAAACCTTCACTAAACTTTAGTTCTTAACACTGAGAATATGCTAGTTGTATATTGCTTGAATCTCTGCAAAACACCCACTCAGTCTCTTCATATTGTGAATGGGTAGTGATATTTCTGCTTTGTAGATGAGAAGATCAGCTGGCGTAGCGGCAGGTCTCAAATTCCAGCTTTCTGAGAGTCCAGATTTCTTTCACCAACATCAAGCCTTTGTCTCCAGGCCTGTGCCAGACCGAAGCCAGGAACCTGGAAAGTCCGTCTGAGTTTCTCATGTGGGTAGCAGGAACCAAATTACTGGACCATCATCTACCAACTCTCAAGATGCATTAGCAGGGAGCTGGATCAGAAATGGTGCAGCTAAGACTTGAAGCACATCTCACATAGGGGACATAGACTTGCAAGCAGTGACTTAATCCATTGTGCTGCAAGCCCTACACTGCAATATGTTAGTTTATTTATTTATTTGTTTGTTTCTATTATTCAGCAATCACTGGAGAAGGAATCTGGGCAATGAAAAATACTATCACGTCAAAGTGCTTTTAAAAATATATATAATAAAAATAGTCTCACACAAAAGCAAATTGCTCACATTTTGGCAAGTTTGCATTCCCAAGCTATGTTTTTAAAGTCTAAGTTGTTTTTCTAACACGTTATTTTCTTACTTGATTTTTTTTCCTCTTGCTAATTCCTAAGCTAACTGCTTCTCCTCATGCTTCCCTGCTCTTCTCTCCTCTGTCTTCCTCCTTTGACTTCTTCCTTTCCTCCTTTGCCTCTGCCATTCTCTACCACTTTATGAACTTACAAAATGATTTCTTGTCTTTGTTATTTAGGTAAATATTTTATCTCTCTAACTAGATTAAATAATTCTAGGGGATAGCATTCTTATTTTTACATTTTAAAATCTGAAGTAGAGTTTCATATGTCATTATTTTTATAACTATATAATTACATAGACTAATAAGATAATTGAAAATGAATTAAAAGGTAATACTTGTTCCTTTATTTCAGAGTCAAAAATTCACCATTGAAACAGTCTCCAGGTTATCAGATGGAACTAGTTATTCAGTTGGTATGGGTGGCTGGAGAACCACCACAACAAATAACCAGCTTGGCAGTCAATTCTTCCTATGGACTGTAAGTATAAGGGTTTTTTTTTTTGTCAATTTTTTCTTAGTATGGCATAAATCATTTTGATTTTAAAAATAGAAAGGCTTTGTTATCACCTAAAATATTATATAACTTTTTTTCAGGACAATTTTGATGGTTGTTTAGTTCATAATTTTATTCTAAATAATTTACTTTGAGTATTCATATACTGCTTCCTGACATAGAAATAATATCACATGAACCAATGAATTAATTGAAATAAATGGTTTTTTAAAAAATATATTTTGAAAAAGAGAGAATGACTATTTTTCATGCCCTGGTTCACTCCCCAAATGCCTGCAACAGATTGGACTGTGTGAGACCAAAGTCAGGAGCTCAGAGCTACATCCAAGTCTCCCACAGGGTGGCAGGAACTTAAGTACTTAAGCTGTCAGCTGCTGCCTCTCATGGTGCACATTAACAGAAAGCTCAGTCATAAGTGGAGTGGGTACTGTAGCCCTGGCTTTCTGATATGGATGTGTGCATCCGAAGCAGCATCTTAACTACTGTGCCAAATGCTCGCCCCTTGAGGTAAAGTTTTAAAGTCAGTATATCCTGTCCTGGATAGACTCCCAGAAATAATTTTATTTTTATTACTCAGTGTAGTGGAAGACTAACAAGAGAACACCAGGAGACTATCATAAACTGATTCTACACATGTTGAACCATAGCTGTGTAATTTGTTCTTTCCACTTCCAAAATTAACTTGTCTAATTTTAAAGCCATAGCAGTGGTTTAGTTTCATCTATATACAGGAATATTTCATGTCTTCAAGTAAATAGAATCAATTGTATATACATGAATACTTCAAAAAGTATGTGAAAAAATGGCATTAAAAGATTTTGGCCATTTCGGTGCAAAATTGTTTTGAAGTCCATGCATAGTTTTTCCATAAAACATAGTTTCTGTGAACTTTTTATGAGAAAACCATGCATAGATTTCAGAATTTTTACATTTTTTTATTAAGATTTATGTATATATTTAAAAAGGAGAGTAACAGAGAGAGAAAGAGAGAGATCTTCCTGTCCACTGGCTTTCTCACCAAATGTCTGCAACAGCCAGAGTTAGGCCAGTCCAAAGCCAGGAGTCAGGAAGTCTGTCCAGTCTCCCACATGTGTGGCAGGAACCCAAATACTTGTGACATCATCTGCTGCCCCCTAGGTACTTTAGCAGGAAGCTGTCTCAGAAGTAGAGTGGCCAGTGCTTGAAACAGTCACTCCAGTACAAGAGGCAGCCCACCCCACTGTGCTGTAACATTCTGTTCCCACTCTCCCCCACCCCCCACCACCGCCATACTAAAATTTTTAATTGTTTTTTTCCACAAGCATTTTGAGGCTCCTTCATACTTTTTATTACAATTTAATAGTCTTATAAAACATTTGTTTGGTTTTTAAATTTGTTTCAAAAATCAGCATTGAAGTATTAGAAACTTCTTGTTAAATATTCAACCCCAGAGCATTTTATGATGTGTAGATATTGTCTCCTTTCTGTGTGTTACCTCCTAGGGACTCTTTCATCCTTTTTTCCTGCTGGTAGCTACTGCAGCCTACTCTTGTAGTTGTCCACCTAGTTTAGATTAGTTATTGTCTGAAATAGTCTTCTCTCACATTTTATTTAATGTGCCCCACCAAGTAAGAGTATAAACCCTCTCCTGTTAAATGTCTTACTCTTCCCAACCATAAAGGAAACAAATAGGGCATAAGAAGAACCTATAGGAAGTTGCGAAGGAAGTTGCAAATGAGTTGATTACAGATCTCACTGAGTCACAGTTGTATTTTCTTTGGGCCTTTCTGTGTATTGTAAAAATCTGGATAAGTTGCTAAAACTGTATAATGTGTAAGAGCATATTTAGGGCTTCAACTTAAAAAATCTGATTATCTGGCTCTTGTCTAGCAGTATTCAGCTTGAATTGAATTTTAGATTTTTTCTCCCTGGATATGTCATGAATTCTTCAAACCCCCACAGTACTTACTTTAGCTTATTCACTTGAGCATGTCCTGTCTTAAGAGATTTAAAAGAGTAAAAATTATTTATTCATAGTTGATTGAAATGTAGTTTCCTGATTCATAATTGAGAAGGTACTACAAATACCTTGAAGGGAGACCTCCATGACTTACACTCTCTACTTTTATTTCTGTGTAGGGATTGTGAAAGCTTTCCCTGATACATAAGTCCATCCTTTCCTGGTGGAGGGGACTGTCTGCTCTGAAGGGTGCAAAATGCCTTTGAGGCAAACAATTCATGTTATGTTGTTTAGTGAGGAGACTTACAGTTCTGATCAAGGTTCAACTCCTATGCTAAATATTTTTCCTAATAATTGATTTAGTGATATTAATTATTATCTACAGAAGATCTAAAGTAAATAGTTGTGCATGAAGACATGTAATTATATTCCCTCGCCCATAGTTACCTTTTGTTTCAAAGAAGAATTTTCTGAAAGTCTCATCGTTTTTCTTTCTTCAAATTTATAGACTACCATGCATGTTCTTGTGATCATTTGTGCTAAAATATTTGCTTGTTTCCTATTGACAGAGTGGTTTTTGGTAATTGTAATGGCATTGCTATGGTTGACTACCTCCAGAAAACAGTGCTGCTCAACCTGGGCACTATTGAGTTGTATGGCTCTAATGATCCTTATCGGAGAGAACCTCGGTCTCCTCGCAAATCTCGACAACCTTCAGGAGGTAAAAAGAAAGAGGAAAAAATGCTGAGCTTTAGGATTTCTATAAATGCTGACTTCTGTGAATATGAATACTTTTGTTAGATAGTTTGCCTGATTTAGTCTATGTACAATCTGAAAAAACTAGGAAAAGTATGTCTTTGTTTTGTAGTTACTGCTCTTTGCTTTTGTTTTTAACCTCAAATTTTATCTAACATCAAGAAAGAAACACAGTGTCAGATTTCTTCAGAAATGTTTGTCTCATTATTATAGAACAAAAGGTCTTTTCAGAGATTTGCCCCTTATTGTTCGTTCTCTATGAGACCAATAAATTCCTTGTTTCGACCATTTAATCCACAGAAATCATCCCCATATTGTAAAAAAAAATAGATGCACAAGTGAATTTGAAATCTTCAGAAATAAGCATTTTTGGATGTCCTTGTTCAATGCAGGTCCAAATTCACTTAGAATTTTCTTTTATAGCATTCTTAATTTTCTGTGTTCTAGGTTATCTTAAATGTTTAAACACTAATGCTTCATGGAACACTTGAACAAGTATAATTAGTGACATTTGCTGGTACTTTTTGCCTTTTTTTAACTTCATGATACACATAGAAAATGGCCTAATTGTATAGTACCCAGGGCACATGTTAATGAGATGTACAAGTGGAACTGGCCTGTGGCCTTCAGTTTGCCCTGGGTCTGCTCAGATGGACCAGAGACCAAGGGGATCCCTATTTGGGGATATTTAACTCATTTGCAGAATATCAGGGAAGCTCTGATTGATACTTCATCTCTCAATGCCTCTGAAAATTCTTCCTGAGATTCTGTTTTCGATTGACCTAAGTACATTATTAGCTAATACTGCCAATTTCATAACTCCTAAGAAAATATATGTAAGAGAATATAGACCTTCCATTTACTTAGATTAGATTTTCCTTTTACAAGTTTTTTTTCTTCCATTTCATTTGTGAGTGTGTGATCATTTTGTCATGTAATATCTTCAGCAGAGATTGTTGTCCCAACCACACCATTCTAGAATCTTTGTCTGCTTTTTATTTCCTCCCCTTTTCATTGCTTCACTAAGGTATGCTGATTGTGACTTCTTGCATGTGCGGCGTTTCTAGCTTATATTCTGAGTCTGTGAAAAAGCTGCGTTCTTCTTTTTTAAGTAAGTTATTTATGTTGTGGCATGTTTGTTCTTGTGTATAAAATCATTGTTTTTTCCCTCATTTATTTTTAAAAGAGCATATTAAAATATTCTCTATCTAAAATGTATGATCATTGCTTAGGTTCATCTCATAATATGTATATGAAAAAAGCTATTTAACTGCTTGTATCTCAACCTCATTTTCTTTATAAAGCAAAGAAACTAATATTTAGTGTTAGAACATTATCATGAAAGAAAAGATTTTTCAAAGGTTTTCAAAATTTAAACAATTTTTATACAACTTTTAATAGTCCTAAAATTAATTGCTCTTTTTCTTTATACCTTATGGTGATACATGAAATTACTAGAAATTAAATGTCTAAATTTGTTTAAGAACAGAAGTCAGCTTTACTATGAGGTTTAAAAAAATAGTGTCTTCATTCTCTTTTTTCTTTTTTTAAAAATTTATTTATTTTGAAAGAGTTACAGAGAGAGAGGGAGAGACAGTGAGAGAGAGCAATAGAGAGATCTTACATCTATCTGCTGGCTCTTTCCCCAAATAGCCAAAATGGCCAGCACTGGACCAGGCTGAAGCTAAGAGCCAGAAGCTTCATCTGGTCTCCCATGTAGAGGAAGTAGGGGCCCAAACACTTGGGCCATCCGCTGCTGCTTTTCCCAGGCAATTAGCAGGGAGCTGGATCAGAAATGGAGCAACTGAGACTTGAACTGGTACCCCATATGGGATACCAGAATCGCAGACCATGGCTTTACCTGCTGTGTTATAATGCCGGCCCCTGTCTTAATTTTCTTTACTTTCTATTTTATTTTGTTGTAAACCCCATTTTTTGTACTATTATTTGCTTCATTTTATATTTAAGAATTAGATGTTAAGCAGAGAACTATTTAAATTTTTCTATATTAGTTTTTGACATTTACTTGTTATGCCTCAATTTATTGATATTTAGCATTTTGTTTTATGAGTTATTTTCAAGTAATATCTTAAGAATGTGTCTGATTCATAAAGATAGTTATTATAGTTCAAATAAAACTAAATGTAGAATAACTGGTACTAAAGTTGTTTAATTGCATTGATCTAAAAAAAATCCATGCTAAAGTGCATGGATTACAGCCCATTGAAGTATAGTCCCAATGCCATCACATTGCTTCACAATCTTTTTTAGTAGATAAGTTTGAGTCAAGAAAATTTTTTGCTACTAATAAATGGTAATATTGTCATAGAGTTTAGCATTACTCATGAATTTATTTTATATGATAAACCATTGCTGTTTAGGCTAAGTTTAAATATGCTATAGTTTATTACAATACAGTTGTGCTATTGATTAAAATAGGGACTTTATTTTCATCATAAAAATAATGAAACTGTCACAGGGATAAATAGTGATGAAGTATTTCAATCACCCATTTATCTGCTAACTCTCTGATTCTACTGAAAATGAAAGATAGGGTAATGTATGTCTTGTTTGGCCAATTTATCATTCAGAAAAGTGAAGAACGCAACAAGGGAAATTCCTATTCTCAATGTAATTCTGAAGCCTAAAATAAGATTTTCCTAGTGCTGTGGAAATGATAGACAAATGAGAAAAAGTGTTTCTGTACTGTTAGAATTTAATAATTATAAAGAAAGAAATTATAGGCAAAAGCTATATCTGGTCTTTGGAAGAGATTTCTTTTTTTTTTTAATTTATGGGCAAGAATCCCTAAAATAAAGTTTGTTACTACAATTATAACTTATTTTCACATCTTCAATACTTTAAGTAAGAGAGAAGGGAGAAGTAGGTAGAGCTTCCAGTCATACTAGTTGAAAATGTCTAGGGGGGTGTATATGTGTGTGTTAGAAGAAAAGCACAAAATATAAAATCATCTTTCTTTATCTATGGCGGATATGTTCCAAGATGTCTGACACTACAGATATTGCTAAACTCTGTATGTTCTGTGTTTTTTCCTATACATACTCATGATAAAGCTTAATTTATGAGTTAGGCACTGTAAGATTAACAATGAAAAATTGGTGATAAAATTCAATAGTTATAACAACATGCTGTAGTAAAAGTTCTATAAATGTGGTCTTGCACACAGAATATCAGTTTGGACTATAGTTATTGACACATCTTCTTGTGATGATGTGAGATGATAAAATATCTAAATGATGAGATGAATGAGGCAAATGATGTAGGCATTGTGACCTATCGTTACATCCTCTAAGTAAGGGTTACATGAGCCCAAGCACTGTGACACTTCTACAGTCAATCTGATAGCTCCGTGGCTCCTAAGTGACTAATAAGTAGGTGGTTTGTACAGCATGAATATGCTGAACAAAGGGATGATGATGCAGATACTAGACAGGATATTGCAACACTTCAACACACTGCACAAAATGGCACACAATTTAAAAATTTTCAGAATTTTCTATTTAATATTTTCAGAGAGTAATTGACTGCAGATAACTGAAACTATAGAAAGCAAAACAGCAGAGAATAAGGGACTACTATATATAAAAGAAATAAGGGACCAGTCACAAATGGATAAAAATGTTGCATAAATCAAAAGTACTGTGGTGAATTAAGGCTGATTTCAAAATAATAGGAAATATAACATAACAATATTTACTTACAGTGAAAATATGGTTAATGAAGGATTAGGATCCCAATTTAGGGATGATTTTAAAAGATGTTTGAAAAAGATAAGTCAAAAGTAAATAATGGTTTCTCATCTCTCCACTAAAAAGAATAATTTTTTCTGTCTGAGAAGGATGAAAACTGACAAAGAGATATTGAAGTCCAAGCCTCTTTATGTAAATAAGGCAGACTAATAAAAGATGTCAAGAGAATTTGTGAATTTAAGAGGTATCCAAAATTGCTGACGGTCAAATATTTTACAAGTCAGTTTATTTGATGTACAAATTAGGATTCTTTAATGAGTGTAACTGGTGTTTTGTGTGCATATAGAATGTAAAGATGATCAATAGATGCCAATAGGAGTCAACTAAAAGTTGTAGTAAAATCAGTTTTACTTAGTTGATGACTACAGTGATGGCTTTTGGCAGTCTGTTGACGTTATAACATTTCCTGAAGTTTTTGAGGTATTTAATAAAGAATCCCATGATACTTTTGTGAGCCAGGCAGGTGGAAGTGACGATAATACCTAGTTCATTTTAACAGTTGCAAGACTGATTAAACCAGGATTCAGCAAACAACTATCTTCTGGCCAAATCTAGCTCACTACATGATGTTATATAGTTTTATTGGAGTAGCGCCATAATTATTTATGTGTTGTCTGTAGTTGCTTTTGGGCTACAACTTTAGGTTGCATAGTTACAACAGAGATTTAGGCTCAAGAAATCTAAAGTATTTACTCTCTGGATCTTTATTAAAAAAAAAATGCTTGCCAGTTCTCCCTCCCCCAGATTAAAACATAGTAGCTAATATGGATCAGTTTGTGACCTGATTTTAGTCCTCAACTAGAAGATCCATTACCTTGAATAATGCAGAGTAATGTTTTGTTCAGTATTTTAAATAGTAAGTTAAGCTTCCTATTTGAACATTTGGAAGAGAATGTCTATATGTAAGGAGTAATTACTGCATTTGATAGCAGAGTAAAGATTCAAAAGATATTTATAGATAGAAACCATAAACTTAAACAGAGAAATTAAATTTTCCAGCAATAAATACTAGATTTCATGTGTAGTTTATAAAGATTTATTGTACATGTACAAAACAGAGAAAAGTGGCTCAAGTGTAGCCCATGTGAAAAACACTTAGGGATTTTGTTTGGCAGATCTGGATTTAAATGTAAACCCTCATTTTAAGTTTGTGGTACTAGAAAGAAACTTCTCTGAAGCTCAGGGTCCTTATTTCTAAAATGGAGATGATTTGTCCCTCATAAAGTTAATGTAATCATTGAGATGGCACATAAAATACACCAAATCTTGTGCCTGAAATATTGACCTTCAAATGGTTGTTTTGTTACTATTGAGTGGAACTTAACATGTGCCAGTTATGTGACAAAACTGCTGAATATATTTATGTGAGAAGTACTGAAAACTTCTTTCTTTTTAAATGTTTAAATCAACATTTGCCTAATGTATACAGAACTTTCCACCAGTAAAATACCTTCAGCAGAAGTAATGAAGCAGACTGTCTTCAGAAGTAAATTTTTTGTCTCAGTGTAAAAGATACCTGAAACACTAGTGCCTCAATTTCTTCTCCTGTAAATGAGGATTGTATGGTGTACTTCTTTTGGTGCTGTTAAGTGTGTTAAGAATGCTGAACAGAATCTGGCACATGGTCAGTGTTGTAGAATCTCAAAACGTGGATCCACATGCCCCACATGCAGCAAGCCCATCACTGACCTCAGGGTGGTGACAGAGAGTGTAGGTATTTGTTGCAAACATCAGAGGAAGAAGCCAGGCAATTATCAATTAATATCCAAACTCCCCGAGAGGTTAGGTGTAAAGTTTCTTTTTTTTTTTTTTTGGACAGGCAGAGTGGACAGTGAGAGAGAGAGAGACAGAAGACAGAGAGAAAGGTCTTCCTTTTGCCATTGGTTCACCCTCCAATGGCTGCCGCGGCTGGCGCACCACGCTGATCCGAAGGCAGGAGCCAAGTGCTTCTCCTGGTCTCCCATGGGGTGCAGGGCCCAAGCACTTGGGCCATCCTCCACTGCACTCCCGGTCCACAGCAGAGAGCTAGACTAGAAGAGTAGCAGCCGGGACAGAATCCGGCACCCCAACCGGGACTAGAACCCAGGGTGCCGGCGTCGTAGGCGGAGGATTAGCCAAGTGAGCCACAGCGCTGGCCTACTTTATATTTTACCATACCTGTTCTTGTTTATAACATAAACAAGAAATTAGACCATCCTATGAGATAGCTCAGTTTTATATAATTCTGTGGAAAGAAAGTATTTGTAGAGCTTTTTAAAAGTTCGATGACATCATGTTATGAGAGGCATATCTTTTACAAGATAAGTCATATGCAACATTTTAAATATTACAAATTTAGAGATACACACATTTTCTAGAATATTCAAAAATACTTAAGAGAAATATTCAAGACAGAGGAAACCTCTTTAAGCTGAGGTCCTTATTATGCAAAAAGAAAAATCCCAAATTTACAAGTAATTACTTTCCCTCCAGAAATTAAAAAAGAAGTATATTATGTGCCCCTCACATCCCAGCTTTTAAACAAATTCTTGTATTATGTCTAATGCTCTTCAAGAATAACAAATGATTTCATTTGGCAGTTCTTTTTCTATCTGTGTTTCTATTTAACTAGTAACTGCTATATTAGTTGGAGATATTTTTAAATCAGAATGTTTCACATCAAACCTAATGAGCATAGTATCAACACCGTCAGTCTTAAATGGACAGTAGTTAAATGTGTACTGTATGTGGAAGACAGCAATGTGCTCATATAATTTTGTGTGTGATTTGGTTTTCGTTTTGTCTTTCAGCAGGTCTGTGTGATATTAGTGAAGGGACAGCAGTCCCAGAAGATCGCTGCAAATCTCCAACTTCCGGTAATCTGGTTTTGTATTTCATTAATAATTATGATTCTGTAAAATGCATGGTGGCATTTCAGTGTGCCTTTGCCTAGAAAAGCATTTAAGACATACTGGCAAATTTTTGTGTCACACATTTATTTTTAAGATTGTAAAAACATTCTTTTCATTCTGATTAAGTGAAAAGACATTCAGCTTGCACTAGATAGAAATCGAAACTTTTACCTGTCAATAGTCAAGTGATTGTTTTTTATACTTCCTTAATATTAATTCTTTCTTAGAGGAAATATGTTTGACTCCATACATTGTCTTGGTTGTCTTAGATATCTACAATCTTTTGCTGTAGGCATTCCTGGCATCCTCTGGTGGAATAGGGCAGAACCAAAGAAAAGTTGATGATGTAATCTCCTTTTTTCTAACATTTGAATGTTGTCTATTTAAATGATTATGAGAGATTTTCAATGCTTATAATCTGATTGTGACTGTTCACATTTTAATAATTATAAACTATCAAGATTTTCTTTGATGTATTTATGGCTTTATTATGGGATCTTCCTTTCTTTGTCTATAAATAGGTCTTTCTGTGACTGCTGTGTATATTAATATTAAAATGAGTCTTATTCTTAGTATCTTTTGATACCCATCACAATTAAGGAGATTCTGAATTATTTATATAGTGGATTAAAGCTTTTGCTAATTTTTAATAAAGTTAATTTCATAATTTTAACTATTGTGATTATTAAATCATTCTGGATGGGAATTTTCATCAAAGTAACATTTTCTCAGACAAATTTTGATCTTTACCATTTCTGGTTTAGCTACATCAGAAATTATAAGAATGGAAAACATTGAGGAGAATTTTACTCTCTCATATTTCAAGGTGACATTTTATTAGAACTATGAGTGTAAAAGCTTTGTTATATTTTCTATAATTGCATTTTCTGATTTTGTACCAGTTGTACATTTCTTTTCATAAAATTAAAATATAGCCATTCATTTTCACATTTTCTTATTTGAATTTCATATTGAAATTTTGTCATTAAGCTAATGATGACACAGGAACCACTCACACAATCTCTACCTAATATTAAGTCTTACCATTGGTGGAATAAAGTTCAAATAAATAATATGAAGTGAGTGACTTATTTCTACCGCATGGACTAGAATTTCTGATATATTTATGTTTTTATTATGCAGTCCTCTTTCTTTTTCTATAAACAGGTCTTTCTGTGACCTATGGGTATATTAATAATACAAAGGAGTATTTTTGATATACCTTACAATTAAGATTCTGAGTTATTTACTTACTGAATTTCTCAATTTGGAATTTTGAATTTTGGTATCTCTTTATAATTTACTCTTCTTCCCCCATCTGCATACAATACTCTTTTCTGCCCTTTTCACTTTGCCAAAGGCCATGTGAATGCAGTTATCAACGTTAAATATATAAACCAAAGTGGATAATACAAGTATTAACATTGAAATTTATTAAATGGCCATCAAAATTGTTTTAATAAGATTCAGTCCTTTTTATCCTATCAAAACTTTTCTTATTTTTTTAATTCTGTAAATGCTTAACTTTCTACTTTTTGTTCTTTTTTTCATTTTTAATTATCTTTTTATATACAGAAGATATATACTAACTAAAGATTTCAACAGTTTGCACCCACACAGACACACAAAGTTCAAAGTACTGTTTGAAGACTAGTTTTACCATTAATTCTCATAGTATAGCACAATAAGGACAGAGATTCTACATGGGGAGTAAGTGTACAGTGACTCCTGTTGTTGATTTAACAATTGACACTCTTATTTATAGAGTCAGTAATCACCCAAGGCTCTTTTCATGAGCTGCTGAGGCTATGGAAGCCTCTTGAGTTCACAAAATCTGACCTTATTTAGACAAGGCCATAATCAAAGTGGAAGTTCTCTCCTTCCTTCAGAGAAAGATACCTCCTTCTTTGATGGCCCGTTCTTTCCACTGGGATCTCACTCACAAAGCTCTTTCATTTAGGTCATTTTTTGCCACGGTGTCTTGGCTTTCCATGCCTGAGAAACTCTAATGGCCAGATCCAAATGCCTTAAGGGCTGATTCTGAGGCCAGAGTGCTGTTTAGGGTCTTTTTTTGTTTTCTGAAGATTTATTTTATGTATTTGAAAGGTGCAGTTATGGTGGGGGTTTGGGGAAGAGCTCTTCCATCTGCTGATTCATTCCCCAGATGGCTGCAACCCCTGGGGCTGGGCTAGTACAAAGCCAGGAGTAAGAGCTTCTTCCTGGTCTCCCATGTGGGTGCAGAGGCCCAAACATTTGGGCCATCTTCTGCTGCTTTCCCAGGCACATTAGCAGGGGGCTGGATTGGAAGTGTAGCAACTGGACTCACACCAGCATCTATATGGGATTCAGGGGTCACAGACAGTGGCTTTACCCGATACACCACAATGCCGGACCCAAACTAAACTTTCAAAAGATAGGTACATCCTGCTATTTGGACTAACCCAAAAGTGGTAATTGTAGATAACTGTGTAGGTATGTTTAAATTTACTTAAGTAAATACAAAAAGTACTTGTATTTATGTAAACATAAAAAGTATATAGTATTTAAAAATAAAACTCTGCAAAATCTTCCTCAAACCCAAGAAACTAAAACAAGGTTCCAGATTTTAAACTGTGTTTTGCTTTTTGGCACAGATGAAAAGACAGTATAGTTTTAACATGCCAAAATTTATGTGACTGTAGATACTTTGTTTCCCTGAGTTTGAAACACAAAGTAAAGTGTATGATCACAAAAAAAAAAAAAAAAAAAACATTGATAAATAATGAATTCTTCTCTTAAGATGTAGAGTCCTTAATTTCTACAGTCTTTTGTTATGCTCTGAAACATATAACAATTCTCTGAGAAACTGTACCTATTCGGCCACATCAGGAAAGGCTGTTTTTAAAAACATAGCCCACTTTCCTCCTCAGGCATTGTGTCTAACACATGTTTCAGATAGCAGGAGAATAGGTCGTCATATGTGACTACTAAGAACTTTGTAGTAGAAAGTAGAATGAGGTTTGAAAACTGCCCTTTGGGCAGTACATTCTTACATCTTACGTGTGTCTTTCTCTTTTTGGCCATTTAAAAACAGGTAATAGTTATCTTTACTAGGTAGCATGGGCTAATTGTCTTATTCTTTGTACATTCATAATTCTTTTGCCTTCATCCCTGTTAGCATTTTAATAGGGAAATACAGGTATAATTTGTTTTCATTTCTTACACCAAAACATGCACATTCTATGCGTTTGGGATAGTCAAAGAGGAGTGATAGATGGGGTGGGTTTGAGGTGAATCAGAGGAGACAGAGGGACATCATGTCACCAGAAATATAAAAATTAATAATTAAATCACCAGCCTCAAATACTTTCCACACTGAAATAAGATACAAATATATAAAGTAATGTAATTAAATGATATATTCTAGATTATTAAAACCAGTATATTTAATATTTTAAAAGTTAGTATTTACGGGAAATGGAGAATTGCATAAAATTGAGTTGGGAGTTAAAATTAGTCCCTCATAAATACTAAGTGGAAAACTAGAAATATAAAGAAGCTCTATGCCTTTTATCAAAACCAATATGTTTACTTAGAATTAATTTACATAATGAAGACAAACTTTTTTTGCAATGCTTTTAAATCCCGTAATCAAGATTTATGGCCTCAGATGTGTAGCTAATCTGTGCCAAAACTGTCTTCAGAAAACATCTTGAGGAAATCCAAATAACAAATATGGTTTTCCCTTTCCATTTGCTTTTTAAATAAACCAGTGATCTCTCTAAAACAGAAAGATAGTTCTGCATACTGAACATACACATCGTGAACAAATGAAGAGAATGTCCTCTGTTGGATCTTTGTATCAAAAACTCAGGTTGCTTCACTAGCACTTTGAAGTGTTGGATTTCTTTTAGCACTACGTTGAAATGGTTAAAAAACTTTTTATTAGATTATTTAAAACTGAAGAAAATCCAAGGCCACATACACCATAATATATAGTATGGTACCTTTAGAAGAGTCTGTGTGCCTTTAGAAAAAATGTTATAAATATATTCTATGTTTGTGTAATTATGGTAATTTGGGAAATATATTCAAGTAGATTATGCTAAAACCATTTTAGAAGTTTTATGAGCTATCACACAACATACAACAACCAGAGGTTGGCATTCTACTTGTTTCACTCACATTTATAACTCATGTTGCCCACTTTTATTTTAAAATATCAAGCATTTTAATAATTTCATTATATATAGATGTTTTCCTGCTGTTGCTCTGATATGAAATCTATTAACTAAAACTAATTAATAATACATGTTTATGCTTTTACGTGGCTATTTGGTATCAGAAATGGCAGTGGTGTTTTAAAATACATATGTCCCATCATAACTGTTGTATGCTTTAAATTTGAATTATATTTCTTTGACAAACAACTGCACCTGTTTCTCTCCCTGGTTATGTTACTGAGCTCAGTGTTACTGGTGTGATATTTTTGATAAAGGTTTTATGAGGATCTATACCTACTGTGTAGCAAAACTAAAGTGGATTTTTAAAGAGTATTCTTGCAAAACCACTATGTTTGGATCTTGTCAGTATTGGCAGGTTTTACTTGGTAAGGGAAGAGATGTCACTGGCCAAAGGATGAAAATATGATTTGAGGGGGAGTGTTGTTTGAGGTTTCAAAATTTATCCCAATTAATTAAAATTTAGTATTTCTACTAGGATATTTTTAACCTTTTTATTTACTTACAACTATGTTTTAAGTATTCACTTCTGATTAGAAAATCTTTAGTCACTGACCAAATATTGACTTGCAAAGTTCTTCCTATAGAGCACTTCAGTGATCACAATGGAAAGCAAAATTTGAATGAGATTCTAGTGTGGAAAGTCATGTAAGAGTAGGTTTAAAATATAAGGGAGTAAGCAGTTAACAGCATATGAGAAATATATAAAATGTTATGGGAATTCCAAGAAGGGGAAGTTATTTATAACTGGGATAGTTTTTAAAAATTCAATGAGTGAATTTTAGATATGCCCTTAAAGAGCAGGTCTGTAGGTAGGTAGATAGCAGTGAGATGCTGATTGGGATGCCCTCATCCTATATCTGAGTGCCTGGGTTCAAGTTCAGTTCCAACTTCTAATTTCGCTTCCTGGTAATGTAGAACTTTGGGAGACAGTGGTATTGGTTCAGGGGCTTTGATTCCTACCACCCATGTGTGAGACCAGGATTAGTTTTCATTTTTTTTTAATTTATTTATGGGGCCAGCACTGTGGCATAGGAAGTAAAGCTGCCACCTGCAATGCCGGCATCCCTTCTGGGTGCCGGTTCAGGTCCTGGCTGTTCCACCTCCGATCCAGCTCTCTGCTATGGCCTGGGAAAGCAGTAGAAGATGGCCCAAGTCCTTGTGCCCCTGTACCCACGTGGGAGACCCCAAAGAGGCTCCTGGCTCTTGATTTTGGATTGGCCCAGCTGCGCCTTTGCAGCAATCTGAGGAGTGAACCAGCACATGGAAGACCTCTCTCTCTCTCTCTCTCTCTCTCTCTCTCTCTATATATATATATATATATATATATCTTTTTTTTTTTTTCCAATTTTGAAAGGCAGAGTTACAGAGAGGCAGAAGCAGAGAAAGAGAGAGATCTTCCATCTGCAGGTTCACTCCCCAGATGGCCACAATGGCCAGAGTTGCACCAATCAGGAGTCAGGCACTTCTGGGTCTCCCATGTGGGTGCAGGGGCCAAGGACTGAGGCAATCTTCTATTGCTTTCCCAGGCAATAGCAGAGAACTAGATCGGAAGTGGAGCAGTGGGGACTTGAACAGGCGCCCATATGGGATGCCAGCACTGCAGGTGGAGGCTTTACCCATTGCGCCACAGCTTCGGCCCCTGGAATTAGTTTTTAGTTCCTGTCTCTGACCCCAGCCCATCACTGCCCCAACTGTTGGAGATATTTGGGAAGTTAGAAGATTTTTCTGTCCATTTGTCTGTTTGTGTCTCAGTGTCTCTCTACATCTCAAATAAATAAAAATAAATTAATTTTAAGACATAGGTATCTACAAGTGTTCAGACACTACTTTAAGGTTGCATTTATGGGGCTGGCACCGCGGCTCACTTGGTTAATCCTCCGCCTTGCGGTGCCGGCATCCCATATGGGCGCTGGGTTCTAGTGCCGTCTGCTCCTCTTCCAGTCCAGCTCTCTGCTGTGGCCGGGGAGGGCAGTGGAGGATGACCGAAGTGCTTGGGCACCTGTACCTGCATGGGAGACCAGGAAGAAGCACCTGGCTCCTAGCTTCGGGTCAGTGCAGCGCCGACCCTAGCGGCCATTGGGGGTTGAACCAATGGAAAAAGGAAGACCTTTCTGTCTGTCTCTCTCTCTCACTGTCTATAACTCTACCTGTCAAATGAAAAAAAATTTATTTAAAAAAAAAAGATTGCATTCATGGCAAAAGATTTGTGTTTAAAATTTAAAGAAATTTAAATTTAAAGAAATGCTATGAGACATTACATCTTTTTTAAAGAAAAATGATAAAATTTTATTTATAAAACCATTGAATAAGATTATATACCAACATTGGGAGTCACAGCAAAATAAAATTAAATATTTCTTACCTCAATAAATTTTTGTAAAATCTGTGCTTTTATAAAAATGTAAGTATTATTCCCAATATTTTATTTTATGTTTTTCTTTCAGGTAGGCTATTTCATTTCTTTTTAGAAAAAACATTTATTTACTTTATAGGCTGAGTTAAAGAAAGAGAAGAGAGACAGAGATCTTCCTTCCCCTGGTTCACTCCTCAGATGGCTGCAATGGCCAGAGCTGGGCCAAGTTGAAGCCAGGAGCTTCATGTGGGTCTCACATGGGTGGAGGGACCCAAGGACTTGGGCCATTTTCCACTGTTTTCCTAGGCGCATTAGCAGGGAGTAGCATTGGAAGTGGAGCAGCTGGGACAGGAACTGGTGTTCATGTGGGATGCCATCTTCACAGGCCACAGCCTAACCCGCTGCACCATGATAGCCCCTATTCCCAATATTTTAAAGATACTTCTACTATAGAGTAGAATGGATATATAGTTTTGTACTATCATGCTAACCTGAAAATAGCAAAAGTTTTACCAGCATGGTGCTAGAATAAGATCTTGGTTCTGCTAGAAAAAACCTGTTCTATTATCTAATCAGGAATTTCTAAATTTTCTTTACGAAACAGCTGCTACTTTTGCTTTTTCTTTGTATGTTCTCTTAAAACATACGATATACCATGATTTTACCAAATTGTGTTACTTACAGAAAAATGTCAAAAATTAATACTTACATATACTAGAGTCTACAGAAAGCTACTGAGCTGATTATTAGACTGCAGTTTGAAAGAATTGTTATTAACTCTATGATGGATCTTCAAAAAGTTCATGGAAGGCCGGCGCCGCGGCTCACTAGGCTAATCCTCCGCCTAGCGGCGCCGGCACACCGGGTTCTAGTCCCGGTCGGGGCGCCGGATTCTGTCCCGGTTGCCCCTCTTCCAGGCCAGCCCTCTGCTGTGGCCAGGGAGTGCAGTGGAGGATGGCCCAGGTGCTTGGGCCCTGCACCCCATGGGAGACCAGGAAAAGCACCTGGCTCCTGGCTCCTGCCATCGGATCAGCGCGGTGCGCCGGCCGCAGCGCACCGGCCGCGGCGGCCATTGGAGGGTGAACCAATGGCAAAAGGAAGACCTTTCTCTCTGTCTCTCTCTCTCACTGTCCACTCTGCCTGTCAAAAAAAAAAAAAAAAAGTTCATGGAAAGTGTATTATGAAAAATTATGCATGGATTACAAAAGAGTTTTTGCATGAAAATGAACTTATCTTCTAATTTTGATTTTTTCTAAAAATTTTTTGAAGTACTCTCATATATGATCTTTTTCCTCTGGTCAGTGATATGTGGATATGTTTTCGTTTGTACTTTTTTCTTGTGACAGTTGTGGTTGTGACTGACTATGTGCCTGTTCCTTCCATTGTCTTCATTTGTGTAGGTTCTTCATCACCACACAATTCAGATGATGAACAAAAAATGAATAATTTTATAGAAAAGGGTATAGTATCTTTGTTTTAAAATATTTTCTTAAATTTATTCTTGATTCATTTAGTTTACTCTGAATAGATTTTGACATTTTGTATCAAAATATTATTTTCAGTGAAGACCAAAAGCAGAAAGTTTTCCAAGATGGTAGCCAGTGATATAGGTAGGAAATAGAAATTTCTATTTTGTTTCTAATCCTTGCTACATGCAATGCTAACCCAAAACAACAAAATTATAAAATGCATTGCATTTTTTTATACATTAATTTATTATTCCTGTGCTAAGCAATAATCTCTTGGGCTGTTTCTCTTCTAAACTCATTGGGGCAATAATTAAAAATCAGTTAAATTGGGGTTGCAGTTCTTTCTCTGACTTACAATGTGAATTGTTCTGTTAATTTTTATTTTTGCTTTATTTGAAAATAAAACAGGGTTCAATTTATGTCATGAATAACACAATTTTATTCTCTCAAATGTTAAAGTAATTTTTCTTTATAATTTTCTTCAAATTTTTTTCTTCTTTACTCCATCTATCTTACATTTTAAATACCACAAATTTCAAGGAAATTATTTTCTAAAGGATTGGCTCTTTTGGTCTAAAATGCATACCAACTTTAGATTAAATTGGAGTTTCCTAAGATGCTCCCCTACCACCATGAGCAAAAATATTTATATTACTCCTGATTGTTGTTGTGGTTAGACTTTGAAATTAACTACTCAGACCAAGGTTCTCAAAGTATAAACATTGGAGAATGAAGTATATAATCAACTTAGGGGTTTGGGGCCAGAAAAATTTGAGTGTTCTACAATTTTTAAAGGTTTGAAAGCAAGCACTGTTTTTAAAAATAATAAATTTGATATTTGACATAAACCCTGCATTTTTATTATACAGTTAATGTATTATTTATTTCCCTCCCAAACCCCTACCACCTATTCCTGTAATTGATATAAATTGGATGAATTTCTGGGAAGCTGGGATAGCTTTATGTTTTCTCAACTGATAATATTTAACATATGCTGAAATTTTAAAGAAAGCTTCATCAGTAGCATCCATGATACCTATGTGTTGTAAATTGAACCCTGTTTAATCATATTAACAGTGGGTGACTATTAGCCACTTCGGTTATTTTTTAAATAAGTTGGTTTATTCTTGGGCAAAGGACTCTTCATTTATGGAGAATCAATTACTTACCTCTTTGTTTTAATGGGTTTTTTTAGTGGAATCTCTTGGTTTTACCTCTTTGTTTTAATGGTTTTTTTTTTAGTGGAATCTCTTGGTTCATTGTCAGATTATTTAATAGAGCTGTAACAATATTTTCTTTACAGTATATTCTATATTATTGATATATTAGAGGTTTGTTTACTGTTATATAATGTAAAAAGTTAGAAAGGGCTTTATTACAGTTACCAAATAACTTTTAGAATTAAATTAATTAGGAATTTTACCTTGGGTGAAAGGGACTTCTTACATAATTAAATTTTTAAAAATAATTTTCCTGATTTTTGATGTTAGTGTTACATTTGCTTTAATATATATAAGGACTACCTTTTTGGTTGGTTGGTTTGTTTTCTGTTTGAAATAGACTATGTAACATGCAATACTTGAGCATCAGTAATTGCAGGACTTCACTAATTTATTAGGGTTGGAACACTGTTGGGGGGGGATGGTTCTAAGTTTTTTTTTTTTTTTTTTTTTCCAGAAAAAGCTTTCTTTTTATGTTATAGTCAGCTATATTTCTTTTTGTTATGCAAGTTTCTGTAGTTACATTTTTTGGGGAACACTTGTCAACTTTATTTAACTCTCAAAATTATTTTAGAACTGTTATTCATAATTATTTTTAACCTTCAAGAACCATTGTTATAGTCCTAGTTTTACATCTAATTTTGTTTATTTTCAGTGGAAATCTTGTAGTTTTTTTTTAAATCTCAAGATTAAGTATATAAAAAGAAAACTAATTTCTTTCTGAAGGAAGGCTGCCCCATTTTAGATATAAAGTTTTTGTGGATGAAAAATGTCAGTTTATTGCCCTGTATTAAGTATCTAGTTTCTTTATAAGAAGTTGCATAAAATATGCTACTGAAAAATACATAAAATATCAATGAAACATTAAAAGAAAATTGGTAGATCTCATGAGGACCTCTGTGTCAACACTGACGTTTTCTGTGTAAAACTATGGTATCAAAAGTCCTAGCACTCCGTTTTCCCCACCATCAGATCCCACACTGGCTATGAGGTATCCTGAACTTTATAAAAGTATTATTTCTCTTTACCTTTATGCACAAACATTTTTAGTTTCAACCTTAGGTATACCTGCAGCACAGTCGTCTCATCAGGAAATAATAAGGAAGCTCAGAACCTCCAAGGTGGGCACTGGTAAAAGTACTACCATATGTGGAAGACTCTGAGTCTTTATTTCTGATTCTTCCTATGCTGTAAGAGTAACTACCTAAGCATGAAAAAATCAGCATTTTTTTAACTGTTCAACAATAGAGCTCTGAGATACCTGAGTCAATAATGAAAATTTTTAAAAAATATACTTAGTGATTATTTTAAAGTATTATACTGGCATTTAATCCACTCAGTAACTTCAGTGAGCAAGTTAATATTACTTCCCAGTTCCACAGATTTCACAGATAAGGAAACTGAGTATAAGTAATGTACCTATTGGTTGCAAGGCTAACAAAATGACAGAGCAAGATTTACACCCAGACAGCCTAACCATCTTAACACTGTGATGATTACCTCTCAGTACAACTCAGTGAAAGCCATAAGGATTCAAAACCAAATCCAGTGTGTGTTTCATAACTAGATGATCTGGTTATGGCAGAACCTAACCACCTAATTTTGGTGCTCATCACACAGTATAATGTACAGTACCTAGAAGTCTACCTTCCTCACAGGCCAGATTCAGAGAAAGATAATTAGACCAAATGGTAAAAAACTTCAAAATACCTATTCAGCGACTGGCTTTGTTGTTTACATCCAATTGACCCACCAAATCAGGTGAATGATCCTTGAAAAGATTTTCTTTTTCATGTGTAAAAAGAATAGCTTGTTTAAAAAAACTCAGTCTTCTGAGTTTAACAACAAAAATATAGCTGAATATAATGCAATTGCCACATCCACAAAGAAAGCTTTGTACATGTAATATATATATATATATATTTTAATTTGTTCTGCCTATTTATACCATATTACAGATTTTGTTAGTAAAATCTTATTGCCCACCATTTTCAAAATCTGTAAAATTTTTGATATGGTTAGCATTATCAACAAATCACTTGAAAATAAGATTATCAATTTTGTTTATTTATATCTTAAAATAATTTAGAAGTATAAAATTCTCCAAAATTTTATTATTTAATTGTTTTTTCATTTTATTTGAGAGACAAACATAGATTTTTTTACTGCTGGCTCACTCCCTCAATGCCCGCAAAACCAGAGGCTGGACCAGGCTGAAGCCAGAGGCTGGAACTCCATCCAGGTCACCCTTATAAGTGGGAGGGACCCAAGTACTTGAGTCATCACTTGCTCCTTCCCAGGATGCACATTAGCAGGGAGCTGGATCAGAAGTGGAGTAACCAGGCCTTGAATGAGGCACTTCAGTCTGGGATGTGGTGGTCTAAAGTTGCAACTTAGACAGCTGTACCAAACACTCCCACTTTTTGTTGTTATAATTTTTTTTTTTTTCCCTCTCTTATCTATCTTTGTATCTTTTGACAGGCAGAGTGGACAGTGAGAGAGAGAGAGAGAAAGGTCTTCCTTTTGCCATTGGTTCACCCTCCAATGACCACCGGCGCGCTGCGGCCGGTGCACCACGCTGATCCGATGGCAGGAGCCAGGAGCCAGGTGCTTTTCCTGGTCTCCCATGGGGTGCAGGGCCCAAGCACTTGGGCCATCCTCCACTGCACTCCCTGGCCACAGCAGAGAGCTGGCCTGGAAGAGGAGCAACTGGGACAGAATCCGGCGCCCCGACCGGGACTAGAACCCGGTGTGCTGGCGCCGCTAGGCGGAGGATTAGCCTATGAGCCGTGGCGCCGGCCTGTAATTTTTTAACTTTATTCAAGAGACAGATAGACAGAACTCTCATTGCTGGCCCACTCCTCAGATGCCCACATTAAGGCCGGGAGACAGGAAATCAGTGTGAATGGCAGAGATATAACTACTTGAGCCATTTCTTGCTGCTTCCTGGGGTAACAACTGACAGGAAGCTTGTTTTAGGAGCCAGAGCCAGGCATCAAACCCAGGCACTCCATATAGAACACTGATGACATAACATCTAGGCTAAACACCTGCCTGTTATTTTAAATTTGTACAAAAATAAATTTAAAATGTGTATCTTTGTTAACATGGTGTTAAATCATACTCTTCATGGAATCTTTATGAATAAGATATGGTCCAGATATTGTCAGTCTTTGAAAATAAATTTAAAACTACATGATTAACCTTTACAAAAGGTTTCTGTTTCATTATGATTCTGTTTTATGATGAAGGTAGATTTCTAGCTGAATTCCATGGTCTGTGATCTGACTCATGTACCATTTTACTATTAATTTTTCTATGGAAAAAGTGAATACTATATTGCTTGATTACATAAAGCATCCTAGAAATTATGTCAAATTTATAATGAATTAAATCAGTGTTATGCAGAACAAATAGAAATAATAGATCTGTTTAATGGGTATGTTCAAAGTTATATACACTGTACTACATATTTTTCATAATTGTTAATGTAGTGGCAATTTAATTTCCAAGGTACTTTTATATCTCAGATGATGAATTAGCATAGTTATTTGGGTGAAGTGGTTTTTGAAGTCAATTTGAGTGAAGAATATATTGTTTATTAGTCCAAATGCTATTTTCATTAATTCTCTAATGCATGAATCTAAATCATTCCTTTTTAAAATTAAGATGTTCTAATAAAACTGAAATCATTTTTCATTGTATTCTAATTAATGATCTCGTACAACTTTAAAGCACTTCTCTTTTGTTTTCTAAGAAAAGAAATGTATTCTCAGAGAACTTAGGTTGCATATCCAAGGTGAAAATGACCTACGAAGTTAGAATACAGTTTTCTTGACTCTTGCACTATAGAATGTTCTGCTCTTATGTCTCACATTTCCTACTCAAGCATTCACTTTTTCTTTCTTAAGCATTTTTTTG